TTTTTTTCTATAATTCCTTTAAATAGGTATGCATCACCTTAAAATACTAAATACTTTAATAACTATTTACAGTAATGGCTATTAAATGGCTACTTGCAGTTTTGTAAGTAGCTTAATGAACCATGAACTTCCCTAGAGCCAACATTATGTAGCTTCCTCACACTCTTTAAGTCAAATAAATATCATTGTTGGATAAATATGTAAAAACTTTAAAGAACAGGGCCTCCCCTGGTGGCACAGCGGTTGAGCTCTGGGTTTTGCGAAGCTGCCCACAGCCTCTGCAGCGCCGGTTCGATCCCTGGTCGCCGGGTGAGGGTCCCACATGGCGCGCAGCCCTCTCCTGCCGCCCACTGCTCCCCTCAGCAGTGTACTTTGTCAGTCTGCCTGTTCTGTTCCCTACTCTGGTTCTGGTGAATTCTCTCACCCTCCCGTGCTTCTGACTGTACCCAGTACTTGTATAAATAAATAAATCTAAAAAAAAAAAAAAAAGAATAATTATCAATGCCTGAGCTCTGAAAACATCTTCTTTAAAAAAAAAAACTTTAAAGAACAAAAAAAAAAATTTAAATCTTTACCTATAGTTTTTATGTTTGCAAAGTTTGCTAAATCAATAAAATGATCTGAAAAGTTCATCTCACAATCAGATATATTAGTGATTTACTTCATTGGTTTTTTGATGACCATTTATCATGAAGTAAAGCATCTTCAGAATGAATGTAGAAATCAAAAGTTTGACATGCTTGCCTCTTATATAAACTAAATATTTGATTTATAAGACACAAATGAACAAACCACTATGGCCTGTCATGTTTTTCTGGTTTCTAATGTATTCAACCTCTGCTCAATATTGATCCTGACAAGCAGAGTGGCCCAAAGATAAATTTATTCACTCCTCAGTTTAGTCAGGAACAAGCCAAAAATTATAGATTTTCCCAGGCATATGATGACAGGCAGTCAGGGGGATGACAAATGGCCATCTTTAGATTTAGTTAGGACAGTTGGACCAGACATTTCCAATAAAGATTGGAGCATGCTGGTCAAATACAGGTTCGTCAGCGACCGTCATTAACTGTAGAGAGCATTGCCAGTGCTGCAGGGGCCTAGACACCAGCTCTGCATGGGAAATAGAATTGGCTCCTCGGTATTTGCAGCATTCCTCTAAGTGATAGCATGACATGATCATTTATCAAACAGAGACTGTCCAGAAAAGTGTCTGCTCCCTTTAGTAACTTATTGAAGGGCAGGAAAGTGAAAGCATTTTATTAAAGACAGGAAGGCAATGAACAACTAGAGCGTATCCAAAGGGTAATCATATTTCAGCACAGGATCAGTTTGTCTTAAATAAACATACACTGGAGGGAGTATGTCGAGGGTCATTTATCAAGTGAGGAACAATTAACAAAACTGCAGGACTTTTTTACTTACATAAATTTAAAGTTCTCTTATTACTAACTTTAAGATGCTGGACATCATAGTCACCATTACAAAATGCAATGCACAATTCCTTTCTGTTAGAGGTTTTAGACTAAGAGAAATACAGTGTAACTCCCACATTATGACTATCACATGCTGTGAGGACTGCTTAACAAATTTTGCAGAGGGCAAAATGAATTGAAAGACTACAGAGTAGAAAAATTTTTTGCATTTGCATGAAGTTATAACTTTTGAAGAAAGCTTTCTTATAAAAAGTCAAGTCAGTGGATCAGACGGTTATTCTTCCTTACAACAATTTTTGCTCTCTGCTGACCAAAATTAAGATAAAGGGAATTAGCAGATGGGTGGCAAGGCAAGCAAAGAAGCAGAAAATTAACATAGTTATTACTTACCTGTCTTACTATAGGCACTTTATATGCACAAGAACTAGTTTATCCTCACTTTACAAATGAGGTCACAGACTTGTCTAAGCGCAAACAAGAAGTAACACCATGATTCCATGATTTGGGTTGCCTGTATTTTTCCTTATATTTTTCACATACATCAATATTATTTTCTTGGATACCTTAGTCTAGTACAGAAATTAGTCCATGATTCACTAAGTATTTTGTTGAACAATGAAGTAGGCAGATCTTAAAATACTTTTGCCACTTTCTAGAAGAAGACAGTGGTCTCAGGAAGATTAAGAGACCTACCAGGTGCTTTACAGTGAGGTCATCCATTTCTTGTAATTATTCCCCAAAGATATATTTCTTCATAAAGATGCAGGCACATATCTAGATGTTCCAAATCTGTTACCTTTATGATATGACAGAGTTTTATAAAGATTTTCAATATGTAGAAGGGAATACTGTCAAAGCAGCACAGCAAAAAAAAAAAAAAAAAAAGATTTTGTGAGAGAAAATCTTCATTATTTTTCTAAACAATAAATGCAATCTGATTATAAGAAATTTTCCCCAAATGGAAAAATTAGATCTCCAAGCAACAGTAAACATGGCTCAAACAGAGTAAGATAGGAGGTACACAGTTAGGTTAAGCAGATATATAAGAGCAATAACAAATTTTTCAGGTGAGAAATGACATGGGGAATAAAAATATCAAATAATACATTGTCAGTTGCTTTCAGTTTTGTAATTAAGAACATATATAAATTAGTCCATTTGTATTTCCTCCTTTTCCCTCACACCCTATGACAATTTTGGTCTTGGCTCGAGGAAAACAAATGAAAGAATCGTAGGTGTCTGCCTGCTGCTGGAATTTTCATTAATTTTTAAATTCTCTACCCTCTCCCCATAGTCTAAAGAATAGCAATTCCCCTAGATATGTACAGTTTCACGTACAGAGCTTATGACAACCAGAAAGTTCTCCACAGAACTATTAAGAGGAAAACATTTGCCTTCAAATCATGGTTTTGGGGCCTCCCTGGTGGCGCAATGGGTTAAGAAGCAACCTATAAAGCTATCCGCAGCCTCTGCAGCTATCCGTAGCCTCTGCAGCGTGAGTTCGATCCCCAGCTGGCCAGGGAGTAACCCACATGGCACACCAGATCTCTCCTGGCTCGCCCGCTGCTCCCCTCAACAGTGTATTTCAGGGCCTCCCCGGTGGCGCAGCGGTTGAGCGCTGGGTTGCGAAGCTGCCCGCAGTCTCTGCAGCACCAGTGCTATCCCCGGCCGCCGGGCAAGGGTCCCACATGGCGCGCAGACCTCTCCTACCGCCCGCTGCTCCCCTCAGCAGTGTACTGCATCAGTCTGCCTGCTCTACTCTTCCCTCTGGCTCTGGTGAATTCTCTCACCCTCCTGCGCTTCTGACTTTACCCAGCTTGTATAAATAAATAAATAAATCTTAAAAAAACAAAAAACAGTGTATTTCAGTCAGTCTGCCTGTTCAGCTCCCCACTCTGTCTCTGGTGAATCCTCTCTCACACCCCCCCCCTCCGCCTCTGGCTTGTACCCCAGCTCTTGTGTGCATGAATAAATGAATCTTTTTAAATAAAATTTTAAAAAATAATGGTTTTTCCCTACTGAAGATCATTTTTCTTTTTTCTTTTTTTCATTTTGCCTATGGCTATTGAATTTTTTAAAATTATTTGAAGTTTACAAAGTAGAACAACATTTTTTTATATTGCTTGTCTTAATTCATTACAAATTAAATTTGGTCTTCAATATAAAGAACAAAATGTTGGCACATATATAAGAAATGCCCAAAATATATACTGGTTCCAGTTAATAGTACTTAAAATATTCATATTTTTAACCAGAAACACTATAGAGTGTGGGGGGGGGGGGCAGGGATGGGAGGGATTGGGGTCAAAATAAGGGGGTTGCAATTGTATGGGGAATATAAAAATAAAATTTATTTAAAAAAAGTAAATGGTTAGTAAATGCCCAATAAAATGGATAAGGACAAAAAAAATTCATATTTTAAAAATGAGCAAGGGGAGAAAGCAACGAAAGGAATGACAGAAACACATGCCACTGGAGAAAGAGTGATGCCTAATGGAAATAGAAACCCAAATTAGAGAAAGAGGAGATAGAGGGCAAATTGAGAAAGCTGGTACTCTGATGTCATAAATCTGTTTTGCTCACATTCATTTGGCCTGTAGACCATGGACTAACTTAATTATTCTTTTTAATATCAATTATCTGATTTTCTTATAAGCTATAAAAAAATACAAATGATTGTGATAGATATAAAATAAAATTGTGACTACAGTATGATGACAATTAAAAAAAAAAAAACCTTATGCTTAAATAAAGACTAGGCTAGGGGGCCTCCCCGTGGTACAGCAGTTGCACGCTGCGCTGTGAAGCTATCCACAGCCTCCGCAGCGCAGGATCGATTCCTAGCCGGCCAGGGAGAAACCCACATGGCGCTGCAGACCTCTCCTGCCTCGCCCGCTGCTCCCCTCAGCAGTGTCCTCCGTCCATCTGCCTGCTCTGCTCCCCGCTCTCTCTGGTGAATTCTCTCATCCTCCCGTGCCTCTGACCTGTACCCCAGTTCTTGTATAAATAACTAAATCTTTTTTTAAAAAAAGAAAAAGACTAGACTATAGAACATCATATTTAAAGTGATCTTTGGATGATAAACATAGAAGTGATTTTTTTCTCCTTTTCCCCTTTGATTTAATCATTTTTTTTAGTGAAAATACATTCTTTAGAAAATAAAAAGCAAAAACATAAATTCTTTGCCATGCCAGTGGACTGTTTACTCACTGCTTACTAAAGTGCCTTAATCTGTAAACTTTCATAAGCTCCACTGAAAAAAATCTTCTGCGACAAGAATGGCCAGAGGGACAAAAGTACTTTCTGAGCTATATGTTTGATCTATTTAGGCGGGGAGCATAACAAAGAATAGTTCTGTGGCTCCCTAATCAGGACCTCATTTTTTGCCTCATCTTTAGCCTCCTCTATTATTACTATACACAATTTTATCCCAAAAGAGATTTACTGTGCATTTTCTGAATACCTGGCACTGAGCTAGAATTCCACGAAAAAAAAAATAATAATGGTTAACTAAATACTGCTAATTATCAAATACTGGCATCTTGTTTTTTCTTCTAATGACAGGATTTGGAGTTTTTACTGGGAAAGTTGTTGAAGCTGTGGAAAATGGATCTCAATGGAAATCCTGTTTGTCTCAAACCAAAATATAGAGACAGACTTATACTGATGTCCAAATCACTAGGTATACATTTGTGTTATATTAATGTAATTTTCTTTGAGAAAGAGACCTATCTTTTTACTTAATTTATCTGCAAGCTTTTAGAAACCTAAATATGACATCAGGATCTATTGCCAACTTTAAATTTGGTATTTTGAGTAAGAGCAAAAGTTAAAATTGAGAATTTAAGCATGAAAAATACCTGCTGTTGAGAAATAATAAAGGCACCAAACACGCTTTGAGAGTTGGCTGTTATCAACAAAAATGACTCGTCATAAATGTGTAGAATTCGCTGACCTTTTGCCAAATTTTCATTGGCACAAATCCTCTGAAGATCCCAGGAGACTCTTTAGCTCTTGGTTCTATAGATAAAATTGATCAAGGTTTTCATGACTTGACACTTGCCAAATGATACCCTATGAACATACTCCTAGGAGCCTCTTTCATTTAAGAGGGGAGATGGGTGGTGAGTCCTTTTACAAGATCCTTACAAATAATATTATTCCTAAATATGCTCTGTTCTGGGGGAAATGAACCAAAGCACTTCAACAGAGACAAAGTTATACAGCCAAGAGTAGACAAGCACTGCCTTTTTACAAAGGAGATCAAGATTCTTGACAGTATTACCTATTAGAACTCCTGTGACATGCTGTACTTGGGTATACAAACAGAGAACAGAGATGTTGTCTATTTTTTAAAAGCTCTACAGGGGATTCTGCTATGCACCAACCCTACAACTCTCCATCTCCTGCCCTCTGAATTGTATTAGTCTATTTTCCTTTGGAAGCAGAGTAAAATAGATAAAATGTTGGGTGACTAAGAATTTCCGGGTGCTCACAGAACTGTTTCTGAACACATTTCTCATGATATAGCACTATAAGACATGAAGATAAGTATACAAATTAAGAGGGCTCATTCAAAGTTTCTTTTTAATATATCTTATTTTTATAACATTTTATGATTATAAAATTAATACATATTTTTCTTGTAGATAATGCTAAGGAACGTGGAAAAAATATTCACAGATCCTTTTCCTAAGAATAACAATCATAATTTATAATAATCATAATCTGTTTATATCTAAATGAATAGATAACATTGAATTTTTTAACATAACATTTTGTTTTTTAAAATAACACTATAATTTACATATCACCCTAAAAGGGGACCCATATATCAGACTCTTTACAGTGATTATTTTTGGCAATGATGGGAAGGACAGTTATGGATAGTAATTGCAGAATATTTTTGTTTTTTTTCTATCATGTTTCAGTTGTTTTTAATGCGTAAATTCTTTCTGAAATCAGAAAAAAATATTTAAAAAATAAATATACAGAAATTGTGTAAATAAGATTTTATTAACCCTGTCATGTACTTAAGTTTGTGTACCCTAAATAATTTTATTAACCCTGTCATGTACTTAAGTTTGTGTACCCTAAACCAGAATTATATATTTTTATCTGCATGTTTACATTTATATATTATGTTTTTAATATATGGATTTTTCTCTAGAATTTCTGGATGGAAAAGAAATAAAAAATATGGAAAGACAATTCCTTATGAACTGGAAAGCATCCAAAGTTGCCAAAAAAATCAACAAGAAAAGAAACATTAAAAATGAAGATGGAAGTAGCTCATACATAAGTAAGCAAGTTCATTAGTTGACCTCTTCTACTCAACAAAGATAACAAGAAATAAGGGCTTTTGTTTAGATTATTTTGTTTGACTTTTTTTTACTTATTTATACATAAAATATAATTGTAATTCCTAGGAAATTTTACCTGTATTATTTATGTATGAAAACGGCAAACACTGTCAACAAAAGCTGTGTTTGGTTTACACTGAGTATGACCACATCAGTTATGTAAACATAGGGTAATGAAGGTGGGGGGTAAATGCACCATTTTATATCTGATAAAAGTGCATAATATTAATTATGTAAATGGTAAAATAACTATCAGCTATGTAAAAATGGAGAAACTTAAACTACTAGTATATTAATTTAGTAACAGTATAAAAATCACATTTTTCATCAGGATAGAAAATAAAAATGTATCATAATTACATCTGTGGCTTATACTCTGTGGCCTTTTTACATACATACCTGAGTATTTTGATTATAATAGCATTGTGTTCCAAAGAACAGGACAACCTCCCTTACCTAAATATATTGTAACTAAATATAGCTAAATGTAAAGTGTAACAATTACTTTTAGCATATGAGGCAGCATCCTAACTGTTTACAGATTCTGTAGTACGCAACACTGGGGTAAAGCCCTTCCTCCATTCCATGACAGTGTTTGCATGCTTAATGGATGGGGGCACATTAAGGGGCTAGGCCAAAGGAATAGAGAAAGGGAAACTGGAATGGTGTAATGAAGCTCTCTGCAGAACTGTTGCTCTAGGAGGCTGAGGTGAGGAGCAGCAGAGGTGAAAAGGCCCATTGAAGTATGAGATTGTGCTATATCATGTCCACTGAATAGGAACTTTGGAAAATCATTTCAAAGAGTGGGACTTACTTAGTTGGCAAGAGTGATCTGTGATAGCAATGTTAATTAGTCAACATCTGAAATCTATAAAATAGATAGGAAGCATTTCTCCTCCTCTGTTTATCCCTGGTTGGCTGTGAAAGGCTGGTTAAAACCAGACCTAGCATAAGGAGTTCAGTGGTTTACATTAGTATTACGCCCAAAATGACAAAGAACCTTATAAATATTGACATACTCATAGAATTTACCACCAGCCCTCCCCTATTCTAAAACCTATTCTAAAAATAACATAGTTTCCTTCATTATAATAGATTTCAAAAAACTTCCTAATTTAGGTATAATTATTATTATCCTCTAATGAAATTCAACAAAATAGTAATTATAATATGCCTTAAAGTTTTCAATTATTTATTTAATTTTTTTAATCAAATCTTTATTAATCTCTTTATGATGTAGTGTGACCTCCAACTAATTAACAAAAACAATCCTTAAAGCCATAAAGATAAACAAACAATAAATTATTTGAAAAGGAAATTATGACAAAAATCAAATTATGAAAACAATAGCATTAAAAAGAATAAAAAGCCTAGGAGTAAATTTAACTAAGGAGTTAAAAGAAATATACACTGAGAACTACCAAACACTAATCAAAGAAATTAAGATGTGAAAGAAAGAAAAGACCTCCTATGTTCATGAACCAGAAGATGTAATAGTTAAAATATTCTTGCTGCCTAAAGCAATCTACAGATACAAAGCAATCCCATTAGTACTTTTTTACAAAAATAGAAAAAAAATTTCTAAAATTCATATAGAACCACAAAATACAACAAATAATCAACCTTGAGAAGAGGAACAATGCTGGAGGTATCACACATCCTGATTTCAAAATATACCACAAAGCCACAGTAATCAAAATAGTATTGTACTAGCAAAGTGAGACTCACAGATCAATGGAACAGAATAGAGAGCTAAAAATAAATCCATGAATAAACAACCAGCTGTTCTACAACAAGAGTTACAAAAATACATAATGGGTAAATGTCTTTAGCAAATGTTATTGGAAATTTGCATATCCACATGCAAAATAATACACAAAATATGTATACATATATAAAACACAACCTAAAATTTACAAAAGTCAACTCAAAATGGATTAAAGACATAATTATAGAAACAAAAGTCCAAAACTCCTAGAAGAAAACACTGAAGAAAAGTTTCAAGACATTGCTGTTAGCAATGATTTCACATAGATGATACCTCATATCATCTATCATATTGGTGAGGATGCAGAGGAACTGGAACCCTTGCATACTACTGGCAGAGATACAAAATAGTGAAATCACTATGGAAAACAGTATGACAGTGCCTCAAATTAAATATGATTTTTAATTTGATTCAGGCAGTAAACATACTTCTAGATATTTACCCAAAAATTGAATTCAGGATCTCAATGAGATATGAGTATTACTGTACTCACTGCAGTACTAGTCACAATAGCCAAGATATGGAAACCTAAATGTATACTGGTGTGAGTAATGTCACTGAATGAATACATGTACATGTACATGTACCAGAATACCATTCAACCTTAAAATTCAGGGAATTCTGAATGTGACGTGAATGAACCCTGAGACATTACGGTAAATGAGATAGACCACTCACCAGAAAGACAAATACAGCAAGAGAAACTTACCTGAGAAACTGAAAACAAATTAACAAAATCAAACAGTGGAATTGCTGGTTGAACATGGAGGAATTAATTTCCCAATGAAATTGAATAAGCTTGAGAAAGCTGCTGTACAAAGTTGTCCCTGTAATTTACAATATGTATTGCACACTTAGAAATTTGTTAACAGGGCAGATACTATGTTAAGTGTTCTTACCACACATATACACAAAGCTACCTCATAACTTCATACTTGAAGATGACAGATGGATTGTTGTTGTTGCTATTATGATAATGAGTAATAATTTAAAATGCAAAGCATTCCAGTATAGGGGCAAGAGAAGAAACAAGAGCTGACATTTACTGTGCCAACTTATAGATATTTATACACATTATTTTATTTAATCATGATAACCTGTGGGGCATTTGATTATTTCATCCATTTTACAGAAAGCTGAGCTTTAGAAAATGAAGTAACTTTTTTAAATTGAGGTGATACTGGTTTATAACACTGCCTATGATGCAGAGGTATAGGATCACACTGCTCAGATGTATATTGCCATATCACACCCACCACAAAGGCACCAAGAGTTCTCCACCATAGTCCATTCTACCCCCATCACAGACTGTTCTCCACTTTCCCCCTATACCCCTCTGGTAGCCTCAATTCTACAGTTAGACTTCTAGGGGTAGTTATTGGTTTGGTTCTGTCTGACCCTTTGATTCATTTCTCTATATTCCACACATAAACGAAACTATCCAGTAATGTCCTTCTCCTTCTGATTTATTTCACTTAATAAATTGAAAATGTTCATCTTTTTTATATCCAAGTAGTATTCCATTGTGTATATATACCACATCTTCCTAGTCCATTCATCTGTCATTGGGCACTTACGTTGTCTCCATAAATTAGCTATTATAAATAGTGCTTCAATGAACACAAAGATGCATATATCCCTTCACTATAATGTGTTTGTGGGTCTCCCTGGTGGCACAAGGTGTTAAGTACAGCACTATGAAGCTATCCGCAGCCTCTGCAGCACCAGTTCGATCCCCGGCCTGCCAGGGAGCTACCCACATGGTGCAGTAGACCTCTCCTGTCTTGCCCACTGCTCCCCTCAGGTTTTATGTATGAAAGTGTGATGTATTGTCTTGGATATTAATTTTTCATTGCTTTGACCACAGAACTATTTAACTTTATTTAATTCATTTCATAAAATATAATTTATAATTCATAAAAATAATGTTCTAATATCCTGATATAGTATATGGCATTTTTACAGTATAGTTATTAGTTTCAAAGAAGAATACTTTTAATTCTTTGTATGCTACAGGTAACTTTGAAACAAGAGTCACATAGTTCCTGTTTATTACCCACAGGTAATAAGGAGGGTAAACCAAAATTAGTCATTTTCTGTGATATACAGAGATACCCTGAAAATGGAAATACATCTCCAGAAACCTCTCAAGAAGATAGTACTAAAATTATTGAAGATAGGGTGTATGTTCTTTCAAATATTTGTGCTGTTTCTCATGTGGGAAAGGGTGGGATATCCTTCTGTCAACAATGCAAGAGGAGAGACCCTCCATCTGTTTCCTAGTTATCTGTTCTAATCCTTCCTGGTCAAACTTATGTGTCTTTATGTACACATAGTTCGCTGTTGGTCTGCCTAAACAATCATAAAGCTGATAGAAATATTGGTTCAGGAAGAGTTTGGAGTCACAGATTACATACATCCACAGAAGTGAGACAGGTGTCTCATGAACATCTCAGAAGCAATAGGTGAACATGTTTGAATGAGCAGGATCGCGTCAATGAAATCCGAAGTTAGTTGACACTGGACATTCCACTAATGAGTGGACAACTACAGCAAGGGTATTGGGTGGCAGAAAGGAAGAGGATCCCGGAGGATGACAGAGGGTATGCTACTTTCACCACTTCGCCAAACCAAAGGTTCTTAATCTGGTGTTACTGGAGGAGACATTATTTTCCTTAGACTCTCAATGGGGTTTTATTATCCAAAAAACTAAATTAAGTCTAAATTTGACGAGAAGAAAATGGCAATTTTTGGTTTTAATAGATGACATTGCTTCAAAAGAACTAACAACAAAACATCAGACAATAACTTTATTTTGCAAGGGAGGGGGAGGCAGAGGGATCAAAAACGGAGGGAAGAACACAAGGGACTATAGTTATGGAACACTGGTGAATTGGTGGTGGGAATTGTACCAGGATTACACCTGAAAGGAGAAAGTATACATTGTACAAAAATGAATAATAGTGTAATATGTATATCTATATGTGTACATATATATATAAAACTTAAAAAAATAAAATAACTTCATTGTTCATAAAACTAATAGGTACTCACTATATGCCAGGCAATACTGAATATAAAAATTCAAAATATAATCTGAAAGATCTTGCAACAAGGTAGTTACAGAGTCAATGGGCTATAATTACTGTACAGTGTCATACATGCTATGGGCATTATAAACTAGATCATAATATATCCTTATTGATTCAGTTTAACTGTCCATATCAAATCAATACAATGATTTATCTACTGATCTTTCTAATCATATCATCGTCATTACACTATAAGAAGGGCAATAGCATATTTCATGGAGCTTTACTTTTTCCAGAGCTGCCTGATAAAAGGTCAGATGGATTTCTCATGTAATCTTCATTGTAGGGTCTAATCAAGAGGTGGTGACTTAGCATTCCTTAATGAAGTCCAAGGAAAGGAAACACAAACAGCACTGCTGCGCGGTTCTGTCCCTTCCCAGCAGAGTGGCTCAGGCTTGTGGTGATGGAGGCTTACAGGAGAGAAGATCCTGTGTGCCTGACAAATGCTTTATTTGGAGAGAGGAAAAAGGGATAT